TTTTCACTACTGGTCCCAAATTATGGATTACTTTTGGCCTGCTCCTGCTGCCTGTGCGTACTGGGTCATCGCTGGGGATCTGAACACGAGCACAAAAGGATGAAGAGCTGGTGACAGAGAGGACAAAGCTGATTTAGGGTGCTGTCCAGGTAGCTGCCAGGTTCCATTCTGCTGGACACAAGCACCTCTGGGTTTGTCCTTGCTGTGCTTTGGAGCTGTAAAGGCGATTTTCCAAAGGAGCAGAACCCTGAGACAGCCTGACTGCAGCTCCCAGCACAGGCCCCTGTGCTCGCAGGTCACCCTGGCTATTGCACAAGAGTGTTTATGTAAAGGTGACACTTGGGACTGTTTCCATCTCCGTGCTGGCATTGTGCTTGCTTGCAATTCAAATCATTCTCGGTTTGGCAGGTGAGTATGGAACAGGCTGAGCAAAAGCACCAGGCGCTGCCAGGAGGCTGCTGGGGGGTCACGGCCTCTCACACGCGACACCTCTGACCGCCCGGTGACCTCGAAACCGAGCCTGGTGCAGGGCAGCCGGGTGAGCAGGGCAGCAGCAGGGTGGCAGCGGGACAGTGGGCAGGCTGGCCATCACTGCCAGCCCACTGCCAGCCCCAGCAGATGACAGGGGAAGCGATGTGCTCTGGCAGGAGCTGGAGCTGGAGCTGGCTGGCAGCAAGCGAGGGCCTTCCTTTACACGGGTTTTAGCAAATGTGCAAGATCCCATCCATACACTGCTGAACTGCACTTCCACCCTGTGCAGAGAGGTACTCGCATTTCCTAACTTCTGCTTGTAGCACAGATATTAGAAGGGTCAAAACTGAAACTCAAACCGTTGTATTCTATCCCCTAAATTACATCCCCTGTAGCCAGAAAAGCAAGGCGCAAGCCTGCTGTTGATTTTGCATAGAAATTTGGATGGATTAGGAAACTGGGGTCATGACAAAGTTACTGCTGGAAAGTTAAAGCAGAAAAATTCAGTGCTTGCTGCTTTGAGTTTTAATCCCTGCCAAAAGGTCCAATACCATTTTGCTGCTGGCAGAGTAGCTGGTTCTGCACTGGAAGGCTGTCACACAGAGATGCCCCACGACAGGAGGAAGGCTGGGTTGGCACCACACAACCAAAAAGTGATTTGCAAAGTGAGCATTTCAGCAGGCAGCCTCAAGGCAGGACAGAGTGGACTAAGCTAAGGGTGAGGTGCCTGCTACATCCCTCTCGACAGAATAACGAAGGAAACTTAGAAACAGATTGCCTTGCACCACCCCTCCAGCTGTAGGCAGCCACAGGATGGATACCTGTAGCACTGGACCAGGACAGACAGAATTCAACAGCCCAGGCTCCAAGGCTGATGCTCTGGAAGCTGCCTCCTATCCTGTTCACAACAAACACAGTGTTTTACTCTAAAATCTGAGCATGCCTACTCAAGAGGATTCAGCTGGTGACTTTGTGAGAACAGAACATGACCAGCAAACCCACCACAAAAACTCATTTTCTACCACCACACTGGAAATGCAGAGGCACACACGCTGCAGGGATGAAGGGGTGGGGAGCATTTCCACAGACAGCAAAGACACACACGAGTTTGCCATGAGGACCTGGTTAATGAATACAGAAAGGGTGAAGTCTCTTACCTTGTTAGAGGACTTGCCTCTCCAAGCCTGGCCCTGGGGGAATGGCTGTGGTCCCATGAGCATCCCACAAGCACAGATACAACACAGAGCCCAGCTGAAACCTGTGCCTGGCCCAGGTGGCCCAGGGATGTTGCAGCAATTGGGCTCACTCTGATCAGCTGTGGGCACTTAGGGCCCAGGGCCATGCCACTTCCAGGCAAGGCATGATGCTGAGGGGAGGACACGGCTCTACCTGCTTTCAAATACACATCCTTGGCCACAAAACCTTGTTGGGCTGCTCAGTGAATGCAAAATATTCTTCAGTTCATGGGTTGTCACACTATAATTGCACATGTTAACTTAAATTGGCTTCCTATTAACTGTTTAGTCTATTAGAGGTAGATATTGCAGGTGAAGAAGAAATAATCATTAGTAGATCAGCAGTCTTTTTTTTTTTTTATGTTTTAAAAAGAGCAAGATCTTGCTGTAGGAGCCAAAACTCTCAGCTGGACTGAACAGGAGACAAAGGGCCACAAGCAGGACAGCTTGGGAAGAGAGGTGCATGGTTGCACTTGGGAATCTCTTTAAACTGTGACTCATTCCCCTCACATCAGTCATTTACAAATAGCAATAGAGGACACAAAATGACCAGACAAACACCAAACTCTGCAAAATAGATATATTTTAAAATTTGAACCAAATACAGTTTGCATTTATTCCATGAATCACATGCAGGTTAATACTATAAAAATACCTGTGCAGCATTTATATATAATTTATAAAATCTTTGTAGCACAAAATAGCTGTGAATCAAAACAGAAATTTTACACATAAAGCTGCATGAATGTCCCTGTCAAACTATGCCTTTCTTGGGACTGATTCCACTCCCCAGCTTAAACACAGCTTGCTGCCAAGTTTTTTCCCCGTTTTGGTCCCATCCACTGCGATATGGCCCCTCCACAGGGCTCCAGCTTTGCACAGCAGCTGTACATCATACAGCACTCTTAACACCGGAGTTTTAAAGGTGTTTTAAAGGTGTTTTAAATCCTGATGGCAGCACTTTTGTGGTGTGTGGGAGAGAGAGAGAGTGAGGATGGAACCCCATGGCTTTGATGGCCAGAGCCCAAGCACTCACCCGAGGGCAAGTGTGACTGGGCATGTGCCATGCTGAAAGGCTCATTGAAGCTGTTGGCATGCACATGTGAAGTCCACACAACCCGATATAAAACAGTTTATCCACAGCCTGAACAAATCTAAAAGTGGTTAAAATTTCTGCCTGCATTTCTTCTGGAGACGGACACCCTGGGCTTTAAAGTGGCACAGCCCTTTCATGTGCATGCCTCCCACTCCTCAGAAGAACTCCCAGGTACCATTTTGGAACTTGATTACGTTTATCCAACCAGCCAACTGATGGCAAAGAACTTCCTTTACACTCTTCAGGTTCATTTTCCTTGCAGCCAGGAAGACAAGTGTACATGGTTAAAAAGCTGGCTCTCACTGTACATTCTGCCAGGAAAGGCACGGGGGCCATGCTTGAAGCTCTGCAGCGATAGCATGGTAACATTTTTCTAGCCAAGCAGACCACATTCACCGCTGTATTTCTCAACAGCTCATTGGTCCAACAGCTGATATATATTTTTTTAAATAAGCAGCCTGAGTTATAGGGATGACCCTCCCATGAACACTCCTAACCTGCTATTCTACAAATGTACAAACAGTATTGCAGGATGCATGGAAGACCAACTGTGATGCTGTGCAGCACTAGAAAATGATAGCATCCTATTATTGCCACACGTTGCAGTCACCAGAGTCACTACTCAGCTCCTTCCACAACGCAGTTTATGGACACTACTCGTCATCCCTGCATGACAGGAAGGACTTTTCCCTGTCCTTTAGACAGGGGAGATTAATCTGAGTTAAACAGTTTGAACACAAACATCAGTGCTGTGGTAATAACTCTGCTCAGTTGTATGTGGGCAAATGATCTCTTGGTGGAGGCTTTCTTACTAATATCCAAGATAAATTTGTTACAAATCACATTACATGTTTTGTGTTAGATTTTCCTTGTGTTTTATGTTTGGGGGGGTTTTTTGAACTGTAATGGGTAAAACCATCCACAAAGAACTAGCCAGCTCTGGCAGTGCCATCAGAAGACACTGTGAGATCTGCCTGATGATGGCACTTCAGTCTGGGATGGTTGTCCTTCCCCCACACCACCAGCCACTTGTTCTCCCATGCCCCAAACCTGAGCCCTTCCTTGGCTTGCTCTACTGCTTCAGCAGGAACAGGCTCACAGCTGGGCAGGGAGCAGCACAGCCACACTCCCTGGTATCCCCAACCCCATGGCAAACCAGCCACTGCTGCTACTCTGGAAGGGATTTTGGCTTTGTGCTTGTCATCTTTAGTCACCTGGACCAAGGGGTCTCTAGTTATGGGACATGGTGGGGGCAGCGATTTCTCAAAGGTATCTGTGCCCAGCAATTCCTGTGACTCCTCCAAGTCAGCCAGTTGGGGTTTGTGTGGCAAGGTCATGGTAGTGAGGGGTGGCTTCTCTAAGAATGTGCCAGAAGCTTCCCCTATGTCCAACAGAACCAGTGCCAGCCAGCTCCAAGACAGATCCACTGCTGGACAAGGTTGAGCCCCTCAGTAACAGTGGCAACACCTCTGGGATAACACAGCTAAGAAGGAGGAAAAAAACCTGTGCAACTGCAGCCAGAGAGAGGAGTGAAGATATGGGAGAGGAACAACTCTGCAGACACCAAGATCACTGAAGAAGGAGGAGTAAGAGGTGCTTTGGGTGCCAGAACAGAGATTTCACTGCAGCTTGTGGCACAGACCACATGAAGCAGCTGTCCCCCTGCAGCTCACAGAAATCCATAGTGGAGCAGAGACCGACCTGCAGCTTGTGGAGATCCCACATGGGAGCAGCGGGATGCCCTAAGGAAGCTGCAACTCTGTGGGAAGCCTACACTGGAACAGTTACTGAAGAACTGTAGCCCACAGGAAGGACTTGTGTTGGAGAAGTTTTAGAGAGGTGTCTTCTATGGGAAGGACCCCATACTGAAGCAGAGGAGGGGTGTGAGGAGTCTGACCCCCATGGAGGAAGGAGAGCAGAAATAACATGTGATGAACTGACCGTAACCTCCATTCCCCATCCCCCTGTGATGGTGGGTGGAAGGATGTAGAGAATTTGGGGGCGAAGTTGAGCCTAGGAAGAAGAAAGGGGTAGGTGGAAGGTGTTTTTAATATTTGGTTTTATTTCTCATTTTCCTGCTCTGATTAGTTTGGTAATAAATTAAACTAATTTCCCCAAGTCGCGACTGTTTCGCCTGTGACTGTAAGTGCTGAGAGATCTCTCCCTGTCTTTATCTCAACCCTCTCGTTATATTTTCTTTTCCCTGCCCAGCTGAGGAGTGATAGAGCGGCTTTGGTGAGCCCCTGGCATCCAGCCAGAGTCAACCCACCACACCAGTGCAGAAAGGCACAAAACACTTTTTGGTCAAGTTACCAGCCCTGATGGAGTTCCCGCGTCTCTGAAGTGGTGGTGCCGCCCGTCGCTCAGTGAGGAAGGTGCTGAGCTCACTTCAGCCCCAACAGCTCGTGCAGCAGCGGCACAATCACGGTAGCCGTGAAGCCAACTGAGGAGTACGTGATAAACTTATAGGGCACTTCAACTTCCAGTCGTCTCCGGGCTTCCAGGTCACGAATGGGAAACCTGTACCGATAACCCAGCGCACCAAGGACCACGCTCTTCATGAGCCAGCGCGTCAGTAGAACAACTAAGATGCCTACAAAGAACCTGGCTAGCACAACCACCAATTTGCTGGTGATCAGAGGAAATCCAAGCTCCAAACTTTTGCTGGCATAGACTGGTGCAGTGTACTGGTTGGTCAACCAAAATCCCACAGTTGCTCCAGCTGTTGCTCCCAAGATAGTAGTGGTGTCTCCCCTAGTAGGGCTATAATAGTCTAGTTTGGGGTAGTTGTAACATAGGACAAGAGGCACAACTATGGAAAGCAGTGGGCAGAAGGGACTAGTTAACAGCAAGTGATCTATCATGTCCCACGCAGGATACAAGAGCATGAGCAGCACGGCCGAAATCAGTGCTCCACCGATCACATCCTGCAAAGAAATTACGTTTAGGAACTTTGTGAGACCTGGAAGGTAAACAAGATATTCAGGTGATGATTAAAGACCATTATCTGCATTGGTGGGTGCCCAGCAGTGGAGGAACACACTGAATTCACAGTGATGGCAATATTCATGTGCAGGGACAACCTGAAGCCTGTGCTAAGCAAAACCCAACCCAGATACATACAGATATGCATGTATGTGTGGACACATATATTTCCCCTGAACAAGTGAAATTCTCCCCCTCACCCACTCTCATGTTTTAAGGGCACTCTTCACCTACGACCTGAGTGGAAAAGGCACACGCACAGCTCCACCTCAGGGACAACCTCGCAGTAAGCTGCCTTCACACAAACCCTTCCCCTCCCATTATCCTACAAGTAATTTCATCACATCAGCAGGATTATCATTGGCTTGCTTTGCATAAATGGGAAGATGCTGTCCTTTGTCAGAGACAAGCTCCCATCCTGGTAACACGAGCTCCAGGGATGAGAAGTGCAGAGCTGTGGGACGTGGTGCGTGTGCCATGATTTCTGCCAGCCTTGGCAAGAGGCAGGCACTGCCCGGCAGGAATACATCGAAAGGGAATTTGTTGCCCAAGCCACTGAAGTCCAGCTTTCAGTACAGCGCCTGAAGCAAGCACATAGTTAAACTCTAATTTATTAACAGAGGCAAATAAGGTGCTTTAAGAACTTGATTGTTGTCAGCTACAAAGCTGGGAAAGAAGACAGGAGGTAACCTAACAAAAGCCGTGTGTATGAGAGCAGCCAGGTAAAAAGCAATAAAACAAGTTTCCCTGTGCTGCTCTCAGAGGCAGCAGAGTTAGTACTCTAGCCACAAAATACACTGCAAAAGCTGAAGTTAGTCACAGACAGAAATGTCCCTCTTCTCAGGGTTGTTTCTTTTTCACCAAATCATGGCAGTATGAATACTACCATGCTTGGTCACAGTCTGAAAATGAATTATTTATGCAAACTTCACTTTTAGTTAGGCAGGAATGAGGGGACTTTTTCACAACAGAAATATTTAATGGTATTCTGGTAAATGCATTACTCCAGTACGGCTGAACTTCAGCTGTTTACAACTTCCAGGTAATAGATTCACAGCATGTTTGGTTTTAAGCAACTTCAAGAGCCATTTTGCATATTCCTAATACAAATTTCTGCTTACATTTATTCTCTCATTCATAACTTGAGGATAGCCATGGAAATACACAAAGTTGTTCACAGATATCTAGTATGTAAAATACTATTAGGTGTCCATATTTCATAATAATTCCTCTTTTTACATCAATTTTTAGGTGATAACTTTACATGCAAAGCATGTTTTGGCCCAACACTAAGTAAGTACCTCAACACAAAAGAGCTGAGGACTGCTCCCAGGACTGATGTTCAGAAATTCCATCCCCACTCTGTGCCTCTATTTCCCGCCCTGTTATTTGTCCACCTCATATTAGAAGAAAAAGTCCTTCTAAATACCCCTCTATGGGTGATCAAGGAGTGAACTCAAAAGCTGTTCACGTGCTTTTGTTTTCCAATTAAAGAGATGTAACCAAACATCATCATTCCCTCACAAAGGCTTTGCTCAGATCTACCCAGCCAACTCCAGCAGTTCCCAAACTGGTTGCAGACAGTGTCTATTTACAAACCTGATAAAAGTTTTCTGAATTTTATTATCCTCCTCATTCAGCCCCAGTGCAGACACACAGCTCCTGTAGCTTTCAAGCAGGACCCAGATAACCAGCTCTGCCCCAACTGGTGGCTTATACCAGTGGTCTCCAAATGGGGTGCACAAGGCAACCCTTTGGGCTGGGGGAAGAAAATAGCTTTAGCACCACTAATGAGTAAAATAAAATATACATATTTTTTCAAAGTACCGTTTATTTTATCCTTCTATTTTTAAAGTCTATTTTGTGCATGTTTTATACCATATGTATCAGTACAGTAGTACATGATTGCAATTCCTAAGTAAATATGTATGTATGTATAGGTGGTGTATGTTCAAAATTTTTTACTGAACAAAAAAGTTTGGAGGCCAGTGGTTTATTCAGTTTTTAACCCCTATCCACCAATATATGGGCTGCTCATATATTAGGAGCTTAAAGCTTACTAAAAGCTGCTGGAGAGCTCAGGACACACCCAGCCACGGCAGTCTGCGGTGACTTCCTTCGGTCCTGGTGTGCATGGACAGCTTTGAATTTTTGAACACACAGAGATGTTCCAGACCAACCCTTTATACAGACATTTAGCAGTGAATTAATTATTTCCCCCCCGCCTGTTAAACTAAGGAGCAAATGGGAAGAGGAGGGTCGGCTCCGATTTCTGCGAGAAACGCTGCTGTTCTGGACCCTCCCTGCTGTGCCCCCTGGAGCAGGACCCGAGTTTTTCCCGGGGGTGGAGCTGCTGTTAGCACTCCCAGGAAGCACATTCTTTCCTATACGCCTGTGTAAACAGATTAGCCTCTCGCCAAGCCCACAATTATAAAGGAATTTTTAAATAAGGGCAGGCACGAATTTTGCTCAAGGTGCAGTACTACCGGCAAAGCTTAAAATCCCCTGCTGGGATGCTCCAGCTTCCTCAGCACAGATGAGCCCTCCACAGGCTCCATCTACCTCCCCAAAAGGCCCCCCACTGCTCTGCAGCTCGCTCATAGCACCAAACATCTGCCCCTTTTCAGCACCAGTGAGGCCTGGCTCTCATGGATTCTAAGTGGAGAGCTGCCAGTTTGCTTTGCTGCCCTAAGAGCAGGTCACTGTGGGGTTTCTAATGCTGCACTCATTCAGATTGTTTTGCTGTGCACCAGGTACATACAGAAAAACAACAAAGGCAAACATCCAGTTGCAGGTGATGCCTGGGATGCAGGACTGGGGGCTTCAAGATGCTCCCAGCCTGTCATCAGGGTCCGTGAGTACCGTCACCAGCTGCCATTCTTGCTGGCTTTTTATTTCTCTATGTCATAGAGCACAGTTTGGTGTAGGATTGAAAAAGCTTTCTGGAGGTGAGACCCTCCTACACTCTTCCCACTGAATCTACAGTTGGAATTGCAGACACTCACAAAATCCCTCAGGCTATCAAACCAGCACAAACCACCAAACGTTGCCACTCAAGCACCTTCCCTGATATTGCCAATCAAAGCAAAAATCACACTTTTCCCATTCTGTCTTGTACATGGTCACCTCTTTCCTGAGTTACCTTCATGTTTTCATTTAATGTGAAACTCCACCCGGTCTCCTAAAGATAAATATCTTATTTGGTTTCCATTCCTAAAGGTTACTTTATTTCACCCCTCAAGGACTGTACTGCACAGTGTGTAAAGTAATGTGAATATGTTGTTTCTTGATCAGCTTTAAAATATTTAGGATAATTTCAGGATTAATGGTACTATTAAAAAACCTGCAATACAGCACAGGAAAGGGGCAATGTGGAGGCTCCAGAATACCCCCTCCTGAGCACAGTGTCATCAGTAGTAAATGCATCAACACTGAATCGGTGTATCTTGGGGGAAAAACAAGTGACTTTTGTTTACAGAACAACTTGTTTACAAACAACTTTACAAACAACTTTCACGTTTCTTTTTGGTCATAAAAAGCGACCTTTTGACTCCTCCCTATACCCTGCACACAATGCTGGCCAGCACAGGGAATTATTGCTTGTAACTCAGGGCAGCTGCAGTACCAGTGAGGTTCTCACCACATCAGCTGTGGCTCTGGAGGGACAGGCTTCAGCAGCTGAGACAGCTCAGACTTGTTCACTGCACTGAGGCAGAGACCAAAAACTGGGCCAATGTTTTAAGATGGCAAGCAAAGGGATATTTTCTAAAATACAGTTCTCTGGTGAAAAAGGCAAATGAAACAACCACTAGTCTTATTGTCTCCAATTGCTTTTTGTTCCATAAAAATAACTCCTAAAACCTTACGGATTCACTGTTTCAAAATGTGTCCAAATTTTTGCTTTGGCCTTTCCAGGTAACTCCAGATTCCCTCTTTGCCAGGGCTTCATATTCCATCATCTAAGACCTAAAAGAAATGACCCTGCCTTTCCACACACGTGGGACATTCTGGTGTTGAGGTGGTGAAGGTGGGTTGTTGTAACTAATTCACCTCTAAGCAGTGCAAGTGCATTGCTGCCACCCCATTCTTTGGCTGGGTGATGTTCTCCCAGTAACAGCCCAGGCAATGGGTGTTTATTCCCTTTTCCCTAAGCATAGTATTCATTCTGGTACAGCTATAATGATGCAGATAGCTCTCATACCAGCTTACTGCCTCTCCAGAAGGTCTTCAATGGTAACATCTCTTCTACTGACATGACTGTGCTTTCTGAGACCACTCTTGATTCAAAAGCGAGACCAGTAGTGCTGAAATACAAACTGATTTGTAGAGCTGAGACTCCAGAAGACAAGCTTCTGCACCCAAGCTACAGCTGTAGCAAAGCACAATGCAACCCTCCTTGTCACTCCTCTTGTTGTTCCTCGGACAGGAAAAATTCAGTTACACCAAGCTGGTGGATACATGTTACCCACCATGTTATCCACTTACTTTACTAAAACATGATGGTTAATACATAATTATATCCTTTGTATTAAAACCTCAGTTAAAAATCCAGAGGCTCTTCCAGCCAATGGTTTGGCTGAGCAGCTGCTGCACCTCGGCCCTGTGGCATCGCACACGGCTCAGGGCAGGAGCCATCCCTCAAAGTGTGGGAAACAGCTCTGAACTGCACTTGTTCCCCCAAAGAACCAGTCACTGCAGGTGGGGCACCAGAACCAGTCATTGTGGGTGGCACACTGCTGCAGAGAGAGGGGTTGCATTTGGGCAGCTGTGATCTTGGGCCTTTCCCCATCTCAATCCCCACCATGGCATATATGGGATGAAGACCCCAGCAAAGTACATTTGCCCTTTTGAAAGGCAGCATTGCTCCCACGTCAACTAAGGAGCTTTTTTTTGGTTATTTTAAAGCCCTTTTTTACCATGTCAGAAGCACAAAGGACGTTTTCTTCTTTACCCTAAAATCCATCTAAATTTAGAGGAGTCTTTCATTATAATGGACCAGCAAGAGAAGTATGCAAAGAATTTTTACTGATTGACTTAAGGTCACTAGCCAAGAAAGGGTGTCTCCAGCTTCGATGTAAGTTATTGTTTTGATCCACTAGGCCTGAAAGGGAAGGTCAAGCTATATTTTATAGCTAACCCTAATCTCATAAGGGCTCCCTTTCTTACAGTCACCAAGTCTCATTACAAACATAATTACTGCTTAGTAAAAAAAGATTAAATTATTTATGCACATGCAACCAACAATGCATATCAAACTCCTGCAGGGAAGTAGCCAGGATTTTTTATCCGTACTTGGGAAGCTGGACCACCACCCTGACCACTATATATAGTGGTCCACATAAATAGTGTTTGCTCTTGTCAGGAAGGAACCAGTTACTGTGTTATCACAGGTACACTGAAATCTGCTCCTAAAACAGGACTGATGTCTCTAAGCAACTGTGCCCAACAAATCTGTCATATAAAATCACAGATATTTTATGATTATTTTCAGACAAAGTATTTGCGCATCTTAGTCCTTTAAGAATTAGTTTCCTTCCAGCTGAAAACAAGAAACTTGTCATAATATTTTTGTAAGTATGGTACCTTGTATGGTAACAGGAGACCTGCTGTCCCCCAGGCCCCCAAGGGCAGCTCACTTGCCATGGTTTACCCTCGTGACTCACCAACCTGCTATTCCTGCCCTGACACTCCCAGGCTAAACCAGCCCCGTGTATTTCTCGCTGAAAACAGTGATACTGTTGCACAAAAGGCTTAGCTAAGGATCAGCGTCAGTTACCCAAGTACATTCCTCACAATTAAAATTTCAAAATAGAGAACTACAATTGAGATGCCACCCCGACCTCACCCGGCTCCTCAACCTCCGCACGCTTGTGCTTCCCAAGTGCTATAAATTATTCCCCTGTGCACTCAACTAGCAATAGCCTGAGGGTTTCCTCACAGCTCCTTTGAATGCACAGCCTGAAATTCAGTGGCACGACTTTTATATCTCTGTGGTGCCATGGCCAAGGCAGGTCACACATCATTTGAAGAGTGAGAGATGGGAATTGCTGTAGGAAAGCAGAGCTGGAGGCACAACCAGCATGGGGCTGGTGCAGGGCATCCTTACCAGGACTGTGTGCATCCCCGTGTAGAGCCTGCTGAGACACACCAGGGTCGAAAACACAAAAGCTGCTACCAGGCCGAGTTCAAATGGATACTGTGAAAAGGGAAAAAAATTAAAATAAATACACCCATTACACCAAGTAGCTGGACTGACCTAAGGATGTCTGCAAGGATCTCGTGCTGGGAAGTGGCTCCTGACCTGTACTTTCCCAAAGAGATTAATCTGACCTGAAAAAAGACCCCACATCAGCCAACGTGCAATCCTGCTAGAAGGTCATTTCATTACCTGTGGTGCTGCTTTTGCAAAAATATAGTCTCAGTGTGGGGAATCCTGGGAAACAGATGGCATTTGTGGAGTTGTTCCCTTACAATATCTACCTTTAGCATGTTAGTGATAAAGACCTTAAGGAAAATGTCACAGCATGTACAAACGATGTCCAAGGTTGCACTGCAGCCTCAGCTCAGCCAAGGGGATCGTGACAGCCCCAGAGCCTGAGCAGATGTGTGATCAATAGTCCTCGAGCAGTGGGCTGAGAGGGGAGAATCAATGTCTGGGCTGAAACCACAATCCGGCTATTAGAGCAGTCAGGACCGCTCTTCCCCGTGACACTTAAAACTTTAATCATCTTCTTATGAAGCTGTTTTTGCTTAATTCCCTCTCCAAGTTGCCTGCAAACATGGAAAGGAGCATTTGAATAAGTCAATGTTTAAAAAGGAAAAAAACCTCCTACATTTGGTAAAGAATAAACTTAACATATTAGCCCTTAATCCAGTCATTCAAATCCTGAAACCGAGTGGGCTGCTGGGTTCCTTTCAGTCCAAAAAGGAGATTTTTCTGTAAAAAATAAACCAACTCCAAATACAAATAAATGAAATTAATTCACCCAATTTGACACAAAGTCTCCATCTTCTGCTAGAGGCTGCCAACTCACCAGGGTGGCCACAGGTCAGAGCAAAAATGCATCTGTGGAAATTTTAAGCATAACAACTCTCTTCTGACCCTTTCACCCAGCATATTCTAACCACCAAATAGAGAGCCCAGACCCAGCTGCAGATGTCACTCCCAGTTCATAAAACACTACTTTTCCTGGCTTCTCTAAGCCTTCAGAGGATTTACACCCACTTTACTCCCCCCTTAGCGAGCAGCCTGGGAGCTAGTCCAGATCAGTAATTGATATTTAGGGCAGCTTGAGAAGATAGCAGCATAATGTTCTGGAAGATTTTTCTGTCCTAATAGAGGCAATTAAATCATTTAATTATTTGACAGCAGTTTTATTGTTTCATGGCAGCTTCCAAGAAGTGCCAGGCAGCCTGTGAAGAGCTGCGTGTCCCAGTGGTCACTTGTTGATTAAAGAAGAAGAGAAGGTGCTGCTGGACCAGGTCTTCTTGGCAGCTCTGACACACAGGATGGATCTGGTCTTCCAAGGATGACAAATATCCCATCTTATGGCTTCCTGTCCCCATCCCACTGTCAAGCTGTTCTGATCAGTTACCACACAGTGATCGGGGAGCAGGGGGCTGGCAGCACAGCTTTGGGCATGACTGACCTGCTCACTTGTTCCCATGCTGTGGGCAGGAGAAAAGCCTGCTACTTCACAGCTGGGACCAGAGGGGTCTGGAAGTTAAATTATCTCAGAGATCTCAGTGTAACTCAGAGATTCCCATTGCTATGAGCTGCAGTCCCAGGACGCAGTGAACAGTGGCCACCTTTCTCCCTGCACAGGACTGGCACTGCAGGGGGGACACCCAGGGACACTGTGACAGCAAGACCCCCCTGGCTGTACTGCAAGCCCTCTTGGCTACATGGATTTATCCTTGAAATACACTTGAGAGGGCTGAGAAACATGCTTAAGTACAATGCAGCCAGGAAGTTATTATTGCTAGAGTACAGGAAATGCATGCTTGGATTCATAAAATGAAACGAAAATAATCATCATGGAGAAATGAGTTTCTAGTAAATAAACCTTTTAGAAAGATAATGAGGGAAAATAATGATGAAAAATCCCCGAGCAGCCTACAGCTCCAGTGCAGTGAAATTGCTGTTACTTCTCTGGCAAACAGGCTCTCAGATCATGTTGTATGCTGTTAGTCTAACATATGCTAGAGCCAGGGGATTTCCAAGGATGCTTTTCCTCTCATACAAAAAACAGGTGACACAGAGCTCCTTGGTTTCCCTGGGAGCTGGCCTGTCCTGACGTACAGCAGTGACTTGGAGGGCATGGGATGAGCACAAAATGCTGGCATTGGGCACCTTCCCTCCACGGTCACACCATGTGAGAAAGCACAGTGAACTCACCAAACCATGGCAGGGCAGTGCAGCCTGCCCACAGTTCATGCTAAAGAGAGATTTCCACTGGGTTTCTTTTTGTGTCTATTATTGGCCAGCTACAGGTAAACACAGGAAAGAATACATACACATCTGTGAAAATAAATACAGAGCTCCTCTGGAAGCGGCAACAGCTTTGGATTTGCCAGCTTTGTGTAGCTTGCTGGAAGCAGACACATGCTTTTTTAAAAAGACATATATTTTCTTTTCCTTCCTTTCTTTTTGTACCCCCTACCTTGTACTGGTTCGTGGTTGCAATGAAAAAGGAGAAGGAGATGGCTGTGGCTGCCATGGCGTGGGTGGAAGGCATCCCATACTCCGCGTTCGTCCTCATTTCCAGCTTGACAACAGGTGGTGAGAGAGGTCGAGGCCACTTCAGGATGTCCTTGGAGACCTGGCCTATGTACATCACTATCTGGGGACAGGAAAGGCCACAGGGCTGTCAGTCAGCACAGACAACCCCCATGCAACCCACCCAACAACCACCTGTATTTCTGTGCTTTTTCCTGCAAAATCCACCCCTCCAAGTGCAGAATTTATCCCCTGAATTATTAAAGGGGTTGCCATTAGCTTAGTCAGTGAAGGAAGCAGTGGTTTTACTGCACCGTGTGGTAACTTGATCAGAAGTGGGACCAAAAGGAGGGTTGGCTGACGAGATGCAGCAATACAGGACAGTGTGAGACAGACAGCTGGCTCCCACCCCATGCCAGAGAAGTTTAAGTTCCCTCCCTATCCCTCACACCCCCTCTCCTTCAAAGAAAACAGCTATAAGAGAAATTTTCCCAGCACCATCTTTGAATCAGTGCCTTGCCCAGCCATGTCCCCCCCAGCTGCGTGCAGCACCAGCTCCCCCATTCCCAGCAGCTCCCACTCCACCCACTGCACGAGGTGCTGCAGGAAACCCTCTGGGATGCACCACCCGTGTGGTTATTAAATTACAACCTCAGCATCCTTGGTGAGGCAGCAGAGGGAGAACTGGACAAGCAACATGAAGTACCAGTTCTCCTGCCTAACTCCGCAGTAAAAGGCTTTTGTTCCCTGCTTGGGACCCCACAGGTTTAAGCAAAGACTCCATTAATTAGCTCCCAAGGAGAGCAACACTATTTTTGGGGGGAAATGTTGCATTCTCAGTTCAGCAACAGAAGCAGAGGTAAGGATGGCCAGCATCCCTAAGAGGTGCAGCTCATCCAGCCATGCCCAGGGCACCCACTGTGTCAACATCCTCTGCTCCTTTGCAGCAGGCTCTCAGCATCCAGTGAGGACTGAGAAAAATCAACCAGGCTGTCCCTGGAGGATGCATTTCCTTTCTATTTCCAGCCTCCTGCCTTTAGATAGTGTAGCCAGACATAGGCAAAGAAGGCTCTTCAAAACAAAGCAAACCTTTTTCCTTTTTTTTTTAATATAAAAATCAGGTTAACTGATGTCTACCATGAAAGTTCAGTTGCTGTGTGAGACAGCTCACTGTTCTGCTTCTCACGCTTCCACTAGCAAAGGAGGGGTCTTAAAATAACATCCTTCCCATGCTGGTGTTAGCCATATGCTACAACAGCAACACGATCATCCAGTGCCACATTTGTCACCAGCCACATTACATCCCTCTCTCTCCCACCAGCCATTTAAAAAATGGCTTCACATTGAAAGAAAGACATCAGGACTCGGGATTCACATGTCAGGACCAGGAAAAAGCCAAAAGTCATGTCCTTTTCTCTACAACAAAACACATGCTGCAGAGAGTACTAGACTTACATCCAGCACCAGAGCCTGGAAAAGTGATTGCTGGTGCCTTTTTAGCCTTTATCCCTCATCATGTGAATCACGTTACTGCCTTACTATCAGCACCAGGTGTGACACTCCTGGCTGCTCCTGCAGACACACAGGGGAGACAGCAAAGACCCTGCCCCAGACTGTTCACAGTAAACAAAGGCTCAAGGAACAAATGTCTTTTAGGAAACACTGTGTCGGTTTATTTGGTTAATGCTACCAGTTTCCAAATGGATGCAGGCACATCTTTGGAAGTTAATTAAATTCTGGGGTAGAAAGCAAAATTACTCTCTCCAGCAGAACATAAAACATTGAGGCTGCTGTTTGTGATACCATCTGAGAGGCAAGGTAGAATGAGCCAGTTTATCAGCAGTCCTCTGTAATAATGACTTCCACTTGTGGAAGTATTATTAGTGCTGGTACGTAAGAGCATTACAGGAGAGGAAATGAGTCATCTCTAAAATGAAGGCTATGCTAGGACTCCTCTGATGGTGACAAACAGGCTGAATGCTTGAGGTGGTATGGGTAAGCAAAAATACCAGGCTTCCTCACAACACCCTCCTTCCTGGCATCCCAGATTAAATTCTGACCCTTCTACTTTTTAAAAACACATATTGTACAGACGGTGAGGAGAGGTGAGACAACCTCTGTATAAACACAAAGAGGAATCCAGAATGTGCACAGACTAAGCACTGATCTCTGACACACCAGACCTTTGCCTTTAGCTTATCTGGGTACCGTGCACGTGTCTTTACACACAATGTCCTGGATTATTTGGCAGAAGCAGCAGTTGTGGGCGCAGTAAAACATCCCTCGCCAGTTGAACTGGCAGGCTTCCCCGAGAGGTGAAACATGGCAAGTGCCCGTGTCTAAAGGCTCCCCAGCACAGGTGTTGCTCTGCTTTGCCTGCACCCCACATGTTGCTCACACCAGCTGGAGGAGCCAGACTCAAAACACATTCATCTAAGATTTAAATAAAACCCATTCCAAAAGTTTTTCTGTACCCGTGTACATTTCCACCCAAGGGGTCTCCAAGCCCAAGGCTGAACACTGGGGAGAAGAGGGAACAGGCCCTCCAGAGCAAGCAGGTGCTGTTTGCTCTCTTGTAGGCATGGCAGAGAGCAAAACCTTGAAGCAAGTAATGCCTCCATGCTTAATTGTTCTGTTTGCTTCTTCCTTGCATTGCTGACATTTTTTGCCTGCCTAGAGTGCTGTATTACAGCTCTCAGTGCTGTTCTTCTGTGTTTATTTCTAGCATAGGCTCTTTTAAATAACCTGAGTTTCAAAGATGTATGTGTGAAAAAGGGGCACTGCTAAGGCTGGCAGGGAGGGAGGGGAGCTGAAGCTCAAGGATGGACAAGAGAAAAGTACCCAAAACCAGGCCCCAAACCTGGGCAGAAAGAAGTGATGTTCTTGAACATCAGATAGGTTCGCACAAGGAGCCCTTGTCCCAAGACCCTCACCACACTTTCCCACAGGAACCCCTGTTAAGGGACACTCAGGGACCCTGCTTTCCCTCTGCATTTTCCAGTCCTACAAGCTATGGTTGAGACAAGAGCTACAGCGCGAGTCCTTATTAAACAAATGACAGCAAAAGCAGGACTGTGGCCTGGGAGCAGAGGTGTGGTGGAGGGGTCACTGGCAACCATCATGCACATGCATAGCAGGGAAATGCCACCTTCCTGTCTGTGCTGAGGTGTGTGCATGCACACACAAGGAAAAGTTGCTCCCATAGCACTGACATGGTGGGGACCCTCAGGAAGTTATGTCAGCTCCTTAACATTTGCAGGGTCACTTTACAGGGGCATGGCAGCACCAGCTGTGGGAAGTAAAGCACATCCCCTCAGTCCCTTCCTCCAAAGCCACAGGGGCACAGCCTGTCACCATGGGGCTATCCTCTACCATCTTCCCAGGAGACCCTGGCCTCAGGCTGCACAGCTCTCGCCTTAGTGCAGCACAAACCAGGCACTCCATTCATTGGCTGAAGCTGTGAGCTGCACTCACAGGCAGAGGGAGAGCCCAGGGCAGGCTTTTCCTCCCAAGGACTCCTGCTCAGCACTGCATGGGAATGTATTATCTGCATCTCACTCTGCTCTGCAGCGAAGCAGTAAGCAACCCAGCTAACTGAGCCATGCTTGAAACCCAGAGTACAACTGCCCTAATCTGAACAGAGGTGAACAAGCCTCCTCTGTTTCTGCTCTGCCAGGTGCTACCACACCAGTTCAGCAATTCCTGTTCAGCTGGGAATGTGACACAGACTGTGCCTGAGCTGCCGTCCCTCCCAAGGGTCTCGCATCTATAACCACACAGGCTGAACAAATGGGCCAGAGCAGCAAGCTGACACACCAGTCTAAATCCAAACCCATAGACACTGTTATTCAGTTTTGGATCCTGTGAATTTTCTGCTCTTTTCTCGTACACATCCATGCCTTCCGAATGCAATGAAAATGACTCTGAAGTCTCCCAAGTTAAATCCTTACAAAAAATGTAAGCATCAATAAAAAAAAAAAATACCTGGGTAAGGACTTCTTACTTGTTCCCCTCTCAAAATTACTTTTTATTAATACTGGAAGCAACTTAAAATCAAGACTTCCCTCCCTGGTGCCTACCAGTAGAGCTGGGGTGGCCTGTGCTGTGCGAGGGCAATAACAATCATTTACAGTAAGCCAGGGTATCAGGTGAAGGAAAGGCAAAGCTTTATTGCCACTTTGGGTCAACAGCATTACATTTTACTACATAAAGGCAATTGGCAGTTGCTATAGCAGCACGACAGCCTCTGTAGTCTTTTTCTGAGAGCTTCCTCTTAATTTGCTCTGAGTCATATATATGGTCTGTCTCCAAAAATATATCCTCACCTGGGCCTTTACATCACAGTAAACAAGATGAATCTACCTTTGTCATTTTAACAGATCTTGCTTTATTGAACAATCACAGAATTAAACTTGAGGCATTAGCATCCACACAGGTCCAGATGCCAATTCATTTGTTCCAACATCTGCAAGAGTTCCCTCTGGGGTGAGAGACTGCTCCCTTCCCTCTGAGCATTTTAGTCCCAAAATATGACCTGTGTCCTAGACATTTGCATACCTCTGGTATTGAGTCAATCATCTAAGAAGAGGTTTTTCTCACCTGCAGGTGTTGTCTGGCATTTGCAGTGGTTCTCCCTCACTCCTCTCTCAGTTGCTGCAGGCAGCACTCCCGTGGCAGGAAGCAGGAACACTGCAAGCAGATTTACCGCCACAGTGCAGATGCACAAGAGGGCACACAGACACACAGCCAAGCCAGTTCTGCATGCAGAGGCACAGAACCAGTGCCTCAGGGCACAATTTCCCCTGTGGAACATTCCTATGGCAGCTGCCCAGACCCCGAGTCTGGCAGGATTGAGGAAACAGGCTCAGTGCTGCAGGTGTGCTGTGTGTGGACATCCTCCATCACCCTTCCCCTGCCACGGCCTCCACACAGGGCTGGGCACACCTGAGCCTCCCACAGGCATGTGAAGGTCAGGAGGAGCAACTCTTTTGTATTCTGTAATATTTCAGCTAACAAAGAGAAACCAGAACATGTTTATTTTCAACTTCTGATTTTACAGCTCTTCTATCTATGCTATTGATCTACTAAAAGGACAAGATGAAATTCAAGAGGAGACATGGGGTC